GGGACTGCTGGCTCCTAACTGCTTGCCTGCCTGTCTGCCTGATTGCCCCTAACCGCCTCTGCCTGCCAGCCTGATGCCCCTAATTGCTCCCCTGCTGGCCTAATTGCCCCTAACTGCCTCTGCCTGCCAGCCTGATCACCCCCTAACTGCTCCCCTGCCTGCCAGCCTGATCGCCCCCTAACTGCTCCCCTGCCTGCCAGCCTGATAGCCCCCCAACTGCCTCTGCCTGCTGGCCTGATTGCCCCCTAACTCTCCCCTGCCAGCCTGATCACCCCCTAATTGCTCCCCTGCCGGCCTGATTGCCTCCTAACTGCCCTCCCCTGCCGGCCTGATCACCCCTAACTGCCCTCCTCTGCCAGCCTGATCACCCCTAACCACCTCTGCCTCAGCCCCCGTGACCATGACTTTGTCCAGAAGGGCATCTGGAAGATGTCCAGTCTCATTAGCATATTACCCTTTTATTAGTATAGATAATAATAAAAGCGTAATATGCTAATGAGACTGGACAGCCGAATGACCTTCCGGACAAAGCCGGGGCTGCAAGGGCCGAGGCAGCTGCCACGACTGCGAGGGCCGAGCCACTTGCATGAATTTCGTGCATTGGGCCTCTACTATAGGATAATACCATATAGATATTTTTTAAATTTTTGGTATTTTAAAATTGATTTTAGAGAGAGGAAGGGAGAGAGAAACATCAAAACACTAGTTGACTGCCTCCTACATGCACTAGGTATCAAACCCACACGTGCCCTGACCCAGAACTGAACCCACCACCTTCCAGTGTATGGAACCACTGCGCTCCAACCGAGCCACACTGACCAGGGCTGGAGAGATCTGTAAACACACAAATCAACATTCTGTTTTGTTTGTGGATACGTACATACAGAGTGACACTGTAGAACCAGAAAGAGAAGGGCTATCTCTGAACCCAATATGGCAAGAAATGAAATGTAGTTGGATTAAAAAACATATAGCAATTTAATGGGTCCAAGATGAAGGCTGTAGATTGTGGGTAAACAAGTAAGTTCCCCCGAAAGCTGTTCTGCGACAGACACACAAACTGCCTGCTCAGGGCCCACTCAGCTCACCGCCTCTGCCTTTGTGCTCACCAGGACATGTTCCTTCCAAGTAATTCACAAGTAATTGTGATTCCCACCCTCTCCTGCCCCCGCACCCCCACCCATGGCCAAGAGGATAGAGGCCCTTCAAAACATGTGGTCCACCTCCACGCTCCCATTAGGGAGGGGGCCCTGTGCTGTCTCTGCTGGCCTCAGGTGGGAGGGCAGGAGGCTGCTAGGGGCATCCCTGGAGAAGACCCCCTGCCTCAGAGGAGGCCCAGGTGAAAAGATCCCTCAACCACCTGCCTACCGACGAGGGGAGGGGTCCAGAGAACCAAAGCTGAAGCTGACAGTGTCTGGGGGCAGAGATACTCAGCATTGTGTCTCCCCAGAGGCCATTGTCAAACCCGAGACCTGGGGGCACCTGCCTGCCTCAGCTGCGGCCGGCGTGGTGGGAATGCCCTTGTACCCTATCTACTTGAAGAGTTGTTATCAGGCCCTGGGCACCCCCTCCCTGGAGCTGGCAGCCAGGGGGCGCTAGGACAGAGTGCCAGGGTCCGAGTCTTCTGTTGAGGAGGCAGCAGGGCCCTTTAGGCTGAGTGGGATGTCATATTGTAGGAGGCTTTCTTCAGGGTCTCCAGGAAGAACTGTTCATTCTCCAAGAAGTCTTGGTCCTGAAAGGCAGAGCTGGGTGAGCACCCCGCACTGGGCCCCTCCTGTACCGCTTCCGTGAACAGGGACACAGGCTCGAGGGACTGAGTGAGGTGGGTCCCCGGGTGCTACAGGCCAGACCTCACTCCAGGCCCCTCCCCACTTACTCCCTGGCTCTGGGAAGCTGCGCGCTGGAAGCGGGGCCTGGAAGGAGCAGGCGCACTGGAGTGAAAGACCAGGTCTCAGTTCTGGCAAGGCCACTCGCTAGCACATAACGTCACTCTCTAAGCCTGTCTGCAACTAGAGAGCAGAGCATCACCTGCCTTGTAGGCTGGGGGAGGGCAATGTTTCAGTGCAGAGCCTGAAACAGGAAGTGCTGTGAGTGGAAGTGCTGCCACTGCTATCACAGGGTTACTGTGAGGTTCCCTGGCAAGAATATGCAATGGCTCGAACAGAACCTGGCCGACGGGACAGGTCTGAGACGGTCCCCTCCCCGGGGGGGGGGGGGGGGGGCAGGGGGAGGGGACCCAGCCCTCTTCCGGGGCGGGAGGGGCCTCCAGGGGTCAGGGCGTGCTCCGCTGACTGCCCTGAGTTGCCTGTCACCAAGGTGACCATGAGGACCCGGTCCAAGGGGCGTGGCGGGCCTGGGTGGCGTCCGCCTTTGCTATGGGGTGCTTACCTGCTCAGCTGTGTGTTGCAGCAGCACCAGCTTGGTGTGGCGGAGCGAGGGGCCCAGGGTGGCTGATGGCTGGATGCCCTGAGGATTGGCGGGAGCAGGAGCCATGATGGCTGAAAAGGCTGAGGAGGAGGTCAGGGACCACGTGTGGATGGGAGGGCAGGGGGGCCACAGCCTGTCTCCCGGGGGCCTTCTTACCACGCGGTGGGTGCACCCAGGACCCCCCTTCTCCACCAACTCTCAAAAGGCTTTGAGAATGCTCGGGGAAAGTCTAATTCTAGGAACTTATTCAAGGGAAATAATCAGGCAAAAGTGCAGAGACGTATGTACAGATTTTCACTGATGTGCTGTTTTTCTTAGTGACAAAAAAATCACCCAGTAGAAAATCATTGAAAGTATGGAACAGCCTCCTAATGGAAGCTTATACTGATTAAAAATTATGGTTAAATGTTTAATTTCTGATCCGAAAACATGTTCTACATGTATATTTCCAAATTAAAAAATCAAGGTACAAAACAGTATATGATATGATGTCAATTTTGTTTTTAAAACTGATGCAGTCTAGAACACTACGCACCAAAACGTTAAAAGTGGTTGTCTCTAGAGCAGCCGTGGGCAAACTACGGCCCGCGGGCCGGATCTGGCCCGTTTGAAATGAATAAAACTAAAAAAAAAAAAGACCGTACCCTTTTGTGTAATGATGTTTACTTTGAATTTATATTAGTTCACACAAACACTCCATCCATGCTTTTGTTCCGGCCCTCCGGTCCAGTTTAAGAACCCATTGTGGCCCTCGAGTCAAAAAGTTTGCCTACCCCTGATCTAGAGTGTGCGGTTGAGAGTGACATTTTATTTTAAAAGTTTTCTTCCCTCTATTTGCAAATGTATTTTTAAAAATATATTTTTATTGATTTCAGAGAGGAAGGGAGAGGGAGAGGGAGATAGAAATGTCAATGATAAGAGAGAATCACTGACTGGCTGCCTCCTGCACGCCCCACACTGGGGATCGAGCCCGCAATCCGGGCATGTGCCCTTTGCTGGAATCGAACCTGGGACCCTTCAGTCCACAGGCCGACGCTCTATCCATTGAGCCAAACCAGCTGGGCCAAATGTATTTTTCTATAATGGACATGCATTCCTTGTGTAAAGATGTTTTAATGAGAGAACTTTAAAACCAGCTAGCCCCTCACTTGAGTGGAGGGAGGTGTGGGCAGGATGCTCCTGGCACTGCCCATCCGATGGTCAAAGTCCATCCTTCCGGAGCCACTTACCACTAGGGCCGGAGGCTGCCAGGCCCTGGGCCTGGGCGAGTGGTGCCACGGGACCAGAGGGCAGGTCCTGTCGGACATGGTCCAGCTGCAGCCTCTGCTGG